GTCCACGATGCAAATGTTTTTTAATGCACACGATCGTTTTTTTTTCCTTTTTTTTTTTTTTGACGTGACATTTTCCTTACTACTCGTTCACTCGTGAAAAACGTTTCGAAAGCGTTTGTCGATTTCGCGCGCACGCCCCCAACCCGCCGCCAATAATCCACCATTCCTGATTTCGCCGTTTCTAATTCCACCTGTTCCAAAGCCGACACAATAGAGCGAAACGCGTTCGATTCACCGAGCCGGTGAATATCAACCGTGACGTATTCAAGAATCATCATCCACCACCGATAACTCTATCGAACTTGGACCGTGCATCGCGTACATTCGTTGTGGGGAGATCGATACGTTTACAATCTTTCCTGTTGCTCCTTCACCCTCGATATCTCCTGGCCACCTGACAATGCGGAAGTCGGACCGTGACGGAACGACGTAAAAAAGGAATGATCTCCGCTCCGTTTCCCTTCCCTTCCGCGATCTGTTTAATCTTTCAGAGGGTGCGCGGAGAATTACGCCAACGACCGAGATATTTTTTTTATGGGGCAAAGATAAGAAACTCGGAATGGATGGTCGGGTAGGATTGTAATATTTCTCGGATTGTGGGTCGTGCAAAGGGGAATATCGGGGATTGCCGTTTGGACGTGACGCCGCCATAAGTGTCGGAAATTAAAGGGATCTTTAACTTTGAGGTTAAAAAAAATAACACGTTGATATTCTGATCGACGATGCGAAAGAATCATTCGATACTTTTACTTTTTGAGAATGGAACGACACTCGAAGAGAGCGTAGAAAATGAAAAATCGTCCCCCCTTCGTGTTTACGAAGCAATGTTCCCTTTCTCTCTCTCTCTATCTAATCATTTCGTTACCATTATTCTCTACCTTATTCCTATCCCAGAACCTTCCCACCGTCCACCCTGTCTCACGACCCCAATAAAGCACGACGAGATTATACGGGACGATAGCGGGTCGGTTCGCATGGGAACGCGGCCACGAAATTGAAGGAACAGAACGCGGGACGAAATCGTGGCGAATGTAACATGGTAATCGTCCCGTCCAATTTTTATTTCTCTCGAATGGAAAGTGTATCGTTTAACGCTTCCCGGTAAATACTAATGGAAGAGGAAAACAAATAACGAGGAAAAGAAGAGCAAGAAGACGAAGAAGGTAAAAAAATAAATAAAAAAAGAAGATTCGAAACGTCGCTACCAACAGTTCCCTCGCGCGTTATTAAACTGCGTGCGCGCGATTAGATAAATGAAAGCCGAGGTGGAACGAAATTTTGCATGGTCGGCCGCGAGTTAAGAAGAAAATTCGACGGATCGAGGATTGATAGTCGAGAACCTCCTCCCTTCCCCTCCTCCCACATCACACTGATTAACTTTCGTTTCAAGTATCAATCTTGGAGATTCAATTGCACGCGACTCGAACGAACGAAATAAGTCGCGTTTGATTCTTTTTCCGTTCGATTGGCTTCCTCTTCATTTATATCCATCGTCCTCGAGCCTGTTCGCTTTAAGATATCGATCCCCGAGCTACCAGCCATGCCGTCGAGATATTCTATGATAATTACCGCCGTAAGAATGTTCTTTAATTATCGGTATTTTCCTCGATTCTATCCTTACCCTTCGGGCAACGTGGGGAAATCGGGAACATAACGAAATTATCATCCTCGCCGCGCATTCGTTACTTGCTCCCCTCCCTCCGTTAATGAGAAGTTCTTCAGCATTTTTTGCAATCGCGACTAATTATTATTCCTTGCCTCCCCTCCCGAAAGAAGCGAATCCTCGGCCGGACTTGTCATTAATTTGAACGCGAATCCAGCCTCTCCAGTGATCCGGGTCAAGGAACGAAGGGGGAGGGAAACGAACGCCAGAGGATTCTCGTCCTGGCGTTAAAGGGGATGTTCGATAAAATCGCGAACGAGCAAGATACGAATTGTAACTAGGTGATAATGAGGGTGTTGTTCGATGTTCGGGGTAATATTGTTGAATAATAATGAAAATACTGTCACGTTACGCGATTTTTAAGATTAGATTCGGCGGCAAGTCATCATGGATTTGACAACGAAATAAAATTTCCGCGTCGAAATTCTCTCGTTGCTCGACGGATTATTACGCGAAATAAAATGCAGATGCGAAACGGAGGGGGGGGAAAGAAGGAGGAGGAGTAATGGTAACGGACATATTCGACTGACAGTTTGAAATTCTTTCATCGCGGAATACGATATACTTGGAAATACACGATGGAATTACGAAGAGAAGAAATTTCAGGCGAGGAAGAAGAGGATTTTCAAGCGAAGAGGAGCGATCAAAGCGAAGCGTAACGGCGTAACGAGTTACGAAATTTTGCCAAAAAGCAAAATTTTTCTCGATGTATCTATGTAGCCGCTCTCGATGTAGAATAAATATCGAAACAATGGAAACTAGCGGGATACCGTTTCCAGGTCGGGATAAATCCCTGCTCGATACCTGAGGAAAGCATCAAAAGTGTCTCTCGTCACGAATGCAGCACCCGTTCAAAATGTATTTTTGCACGGACTTTCACAAACACGCGAAACGCCCGTTCAAGTGTGCTCGCCCATATAAGCATAACAATAAACCTCTCGAGCTTACGGAAGCAGAAAGAGGCATTTCCAACCCCTCGACCAGAGCTTCTCCCCTTGGCCATCCCTTCGTTCCTTTTTTTCCCCCTTTACTCGCGCCACCACCACCAACACCAGGTTCAAAGTTTTCCCGAGAAATGTTAGCATCTAATGCACGTGCAAATCTCATTCGTAGGAAAAAATGCTTTTCATCCGGTGGAAACCAGAATAATTCGGTCTAATTTCGTTAATGTTCGAAACGTGCTCTTCTTCTACTCGCATTATCCTTATCCCGGTTGATGTATCAACGTTCCAAAGATTCCAAGATGCGCGAAATGAAAATCAGGAAATGTTGACCGACGTCGCGATGTGTTATATTCGAAGCAACCAACCGTTCATCCCGGCCAGCTTGTTCCTTCTGGTTAATATTAAAGAATATCGGGCGGATTTTTATCCTTTATTATCTTTCTACCCAAAGCGCTTCGATACAGTCTTTCCCGTAGAGGTGGAACCGTAAAAAGTAGTACCGTGACCATATTTCTTTTCCCTTTTTTTTTTTTTTTTTTTTTTTTTCTTTAATACACGTTCGTAAAAGGAACAAACGAGAGGATTTGAAAATTAAGCCTTTGGCGAAATATGTTCGCCCATATCCGCTAAATTCCTACCATTTATTATATTTGGGATGACAACAATGCAACAACAATAGAGATAAGACGAAAACAAAAAGAAAACGATAATCATGCTCCTGGGCGTTGGACGATATTTCCACAAGGGCGCGCGATAACGAGAATTTCATGCTTGCACTTTAATCTATGCACTCACAGGGAGGCGTATCATCGCGGTGGAAATTTTGGCATGGTATGGGTTTGCGAATCGAGAAGATACGATACACAGGGTATTCAACGCCGTGCGATCGAGAGATCGTTACGTAATTAATTACGAATTATTTTACCTCATTTTCTGCTTCACAGAAGAAGAAATCGCGGCTGATCGATTCCCAGCATATCGTTATAATCCTGATCGTTTTCTCGTTGATCATGTTCGGCATGAGTTTCGCCTTCGTTTTCAACTGCGTGCGGAAATTGATCCGGGACCATCGAATCATCCAAGTAAGTAGATCTTTCGTATTTTATTCCGCTTTGCGATTTGCAATCTGTAAAAGAAAAAAAAATCGAACAACGTTAAAAGTAAGGAACGTGTAAAAATATCGTAGGATATTTCATTCAGACGTTTTAATTCTAGTAGTGTTAATAACTTTTGTAATAAATGAATTTATCGTGTATAATTACATAAATGTGTATGCGTATAATGGCTTGAAAATTTCGAGGGATCTCAAAATATTGTGTACAATATCGTGGAAAAACATATGGACAAATCATGAAAGACTAGAACTTCTTTGTGTATTACATAAAATTCACTCTTGTTTCACGTTCCCAGAATTTCAATTACTTTTCGAACAATGGTGAAATTTCGATTCGGTCCACGATTCGTACTTGTCACGTACAATCATACGTGTCTAACATTCACGCAACGCGGAAAAAGGATTGATACGGTACAATTTGAAATAAGTCCATGGTTCGTTTCATCTATTCACGAAGGAACGGAGAACGGAGAAGATTAAAAGGTTGAATCACAAAAGATGGGATATATATATATATATATATATTAACGAAAATTAATTTTAAACGAATACTCAATTTAACAACGCGGCAATGTTTAAAAATTATTAACATATCCTGTGATATTTCAATCGTAACATTTTATTTAATTAGAGTTATGAAATATTTCGCTTCCAAATACGATTTTTCATTTATTTCAACGAGGGAACTAAATATTCCTGTACTATATCCCTCGCGGTAAAACGATACTATTGTTTGATTATCTCTGGAATTACGTTATCTGTAATATAAATTTAATAAGATAACCAGACGCAGGCAGGTTTTATTTTGTTTAAAAAAAAAAAAATTGACGAAAAAAAAACATTTAGTAATGAAACCGACGGTTTCTATAAAATATTAACAGAATAATGAATGTTTTGCAATTTTAATCCTGTAAATCAAAAATGATGTACAACGTGTATTATATTCGTTCAAAGTCAATAGCCGCTGCGTCATTTGCAAAGCTTTTTGAAATTGAAATGAAGAGTGATTTAAATAACGTGTAACGAAATACAATATTCAAAAAATGGATAATGTTTTATATTTTATAAAACAAATAGTTTATCGCAACGCGTGTCCACAATTATTAATCAAATAACCGATGACGGTTGAAGATAATGTAATTTATTATAAATGTCCGGGAAAGAGATGGTGCGCGGTTTTAAAAAAAAAACGATAACGCGCATGGGAACCGCGAAGTTAACAGAGAGCGGCAACTTTTAACGACGTTGCGCTATTTATTCTTCGATATTTGTCCGACTAATTGAAAGAATTCGTTTTTCTGTGTCCAGGAGCACATCAGACAGTCGAGAGAAAATCGATTGGACGAACTCGGTCGTAAGGCAACACCCTGCCCGATCTCGTCCTCGAGAACAGACATCAGGGATCGAGTGAGCGACTCGCCGAGTCTGGAAGTAATCCCGAGCAAGGAACTTTTACCGCCCACTACTTTAATAGCGCAAGATTACACGAAAGATCTCGTACTTGAAATGGCGTACAATACGAGAGATATGCACGACATACATCAGAGCAACAACGTGAGCAACGCGACGCAGGAACGTTTGCAAGAATCGAGCGACGAGCCAGAGATGCGAGACAATTCTTGTCAGACGCGAGAAAGCCTCTTCGAGACGCGAATCCCGGACAACGTGATGGGATTCACGACATTCGGTGTCCGCGGACCTAGCTCGCAAAACGGGACCAATCATCTTCACTATCACCGTCATCATCATCTTCATCACCAAAGCCCGCCGCAATCGCGTCAAAGCTCTCAGCCTTCCCAGCAATCTTCCGAGCACAGCTCTCAACAGCAATGCTCGGGTTGTAGCCCAGCATCGAGGGGTCGGGACGGCAGCATGGGTATTTGTCCGAAACACAACCCAATCCCCGCACCGCCTGGCTGGTCTACCCACGAGTCCGGTTATTCATTGCCTCCGCATCAAGGATCCGTTTATCCCGAACCTCCGGATTACCCGTCGTACCAGAGGTTTCAAAGCCCGAAACCAAGTAGGGAAAACAGCGTCTATCGTCAATCGCCGAAATTATTGAGGCAAGGAACGATCGGGTCGGGGGAGAGGTACGGCAGTTCTATCTACGGATCCGGGCATGGATCTAGTAACGCGTCGAGCACTCAACACACCGGTACGCCGAAATGCCCCGAGCAAACGACACCCGATCCTAGGTACAGAGCGGAGGCGGTGATAGAGGTGGATCAGAGGCGACCTTTCAGCATAGAGAGCACAAAGAGCGCGCCGGATGTGATCGCAACGCACTGACGCCGGGGTCCTGGGGATTGGGAGCCCTACAAGAGACGCCATCCCCGTCAAACTGTCACTGATACTCAGTTGCCCGGTAGGAATGACGGAAGCAAGGTCACTGTAGCCACCCAAAGCTCCTTGGACGACGACGCTTCGACCAGTTCCACGATAGATGCCAACTCGTCCTCCTGATCCACGCATATTGGCGCGATCGATCGGCCTGATCAACTGGAGCGTGCAGATACGGACGGTCTTAGTTCGTCCTTAGACAAATCTACTCGGCACGTAATTCAGGATTCCGAGACATCGAGATTGTACGCAGGGGCGCAAAATGATCTTCCGTTAGCGAGATCGGTGGAAATCGACGGAATAAAAGAACCAAAGACTTGTTTGGGCAGTACCGGTGAAATAAGCGATGTATCCGTTTCGGAATCTATCGGGAGAAATACGGGAACATTTCGAAGTGATATCGAGATCGTACAGTCAATTGGACGCGATTCGATGCGGTCAAAAGAGAATTTTCCAGTTTCGAAGGTATCGTCGGTCCGACTGGCTTTAAAATTGAACGATCTCCCGATTCTGAGGCCCCCGGAGGCCTTCAGGGCTCCAATCTTCCGCTGCAAAACGCCGACCCTAGCGTGGCAGCATTGCGATTGCCCATCGCATTCCCACTTGCCACCGCGAAGATCCTCCGTGATCTGGAGTGCCTTGAAACACTACAGTCAGGAGCCCTTCTATAGAACTTGGCCTAACAGAACCGCCAGAAGGTTCATTCGACCATCGAGGAGGACCGTGGGCACTCAAAGTTCATTGGATGGCTCGCGATCGTCTCTTAGCGCTATTCGTTGCGTGGTCAGATCGATCGATATGACCGAAAGTTCGATGGATCTCGAGATAGGCGCCACGATACCTTTCTAGTGTTTATTTTTCATCCGAGAGGATTTTCTTCCTGTGTTGAATCGATTGGATTACGGACCAAAGAGTTTTCAAACGAGAACGCAATACTATCTCTATTATTGTTGATGTTACGATACAGAACGCTTAGAATCGTTTATTGTTATTCGGAACGCTATTTTGCTAATCAGTGTGTTAGATTGCGAATTATGGTTATAATTACACGGCTTTCGCTATTGCTATATCTGTATATTCTTTTTTAACGCAAACAACACGTATCATATCGCGTCGAAACGAAAATATATTAGCGAAATATACGTCGCGTCCTTTGTTTTTCACGAACATTCGTTTCCCGCCATTTTGTATATTCGCAATATCTTAACGGTCGTTAATCAAAGAGAAGGACTTACCATAATTTTCACTGCATTCTCTTCAATTACATGATACGTTGATACGTTGATACGTTGAACAACTAAAATACACTTTGCAAAATACAATTTGTGATCTAACACTCGTATTTGTTGAATAAATACAATGATTTTCGCGAGAATAGAATCGAGCCGAACAGAATGTAAACATATCGAGACCGAGACACATTTCGTACTGACGATAGTTATATCTGGATGTGTGCAGATGGCGTTTCGCGACGATCATCTAGTTTTAATCGAACTACTTTGAGGTGATCACGTAGTGTTTACACAGTTGAGTAAAACTCGAAGTGAAGTGATAGAAAATTTATTGTGAAAAGCTGCAAGCAGTTATAAAAAGTTATCTCGGGCAACGAGTAAGTAGATTTCTGATTAAAATATGTCAACTCGCCTAATGAACATTGATATGTTGAACAAGTTGAACATAGCCTAACCCTTTTTTATACACGGTATCGATTTCGCGATTCGAAAAAACGTATGGATATGATACTACAATAGGCAAACTATTTTTTCACGGTATTTCCACTAATAGTCGAGCATGAGGCATAGTTATTCGTATCCGATTGAAAAAAGAATCGAAAGAATGCATTTATGAATCGATAACGTATTACAGCTCGAATATGTCCGATACGAATCGATCGATATCGACTACATCGTCGTGTTCCTTGAGCGAGTGAAAAAAATTTGTTTGCCAATTTTTGTAAAGATTTCAAAATGACGAATAATCTAATTCCCTAGTCTCAGGATCATTAATTTCAGAGTCACGTTATAAAGAATTTATCTTTGTACGATAATATATTCGACATTTTTTTAGAAAATGTAATCGTGCACGCACGTTTCATTGACAATCGATTCGTTGCTTTCAGTTGTATGCCATTCGTCGATCGATCGATTGATTGAAAGAGAAATACAGGCTTTCGTGAAAAATTGGAATTTCGAGAGAAGCGTGCACCAAACATCTAGTAACAAGGTAAATAATTAAATTAGTCAATTAAATATTAAACAATCGAGCGAGGAAGAGAATAGGATTAATGTGAAACGAAAATGAACGAAAGAGATAGAACCAAAAGCGTGTTGACTGTAAACGTTGTATGCAGATATATTGTGAAGCTGTCAGGAATTTAGCGATTAGTAATCGACAAATTTTCGCTTCTGTACAGATTACGTATTAACGTTCATCGTTTAGGACAGAATGTACAGAGTGTACACATTTGTATATAAACGACACATGATCGTCTGTCCAAATGATACGTCAGACGAATAATAAATATAGTACTTTTAAAATAATCTTTATAATTGATCTAACCTCATCGTAATTACAATTTATAGAGATCCAATTTTCCTTTCCAATTTTTCATTGTAACATTTATTACAAAAGTTTCTTCAAAATTTTTAAGATATAATACTTTTAATAAAGGTAAGTTCGTATTATAATTGGCAACTTTAAAAAGTCATATTTTTTTCGAAAGAATGTTATAAATTGCCAAATTATTCAAAATATCATTTTATTTTAAACGTAATAAATTCGACATTAGATTCTGAAACGTCATACGCATTTTCTATATTTTTTCTTCAATCGATGCTAATGTTTTAATCGAATTTATCTCGAGAATGATAAAATTTTAACAAAAGTATTGACCATTTTATTCGTTTTATTCGTTTAGCATTATTAACTTTCTCAACGCCTCGGGCGTTTCGATCCTTAATGCAAACTGCTTCTTCCGTATAGCTTTTAATTAGCTTTAAATGATTTACAAATCGTTGTGGAAAATTATTTAATAATTAGCTATTCTTTTATTTTCAATTACTCGCTCTTTATCTTTTTAAAATACATCGCGTGGTAGGATAAGTGGAAATTATCGTAACTGGATGGAAATTACTTTACTTTGTAAAATATATAACCGACACCAAAAGAGTTAATATTCGCAGACTTTGCGCAAGAAAGCATAGCGTTAAACGATAAAGAGAATCTCGACTTACTGCTTCTTTAATGGAAATCTAATCGTTTGGCGAAGGTAGTTAAAAAAAATTAAATAATGAAGAAAAATGAGGTTAAATCGCGGCAAAACATTACTGCGTTGATGCATTGCATCCTAACGTACATATTCATATAATATGTGTGCACACGAGCGATATACTATACATACTATCCATCTATGTGGTCATACGTAGTACTGTGCTCAGTCACCTTTATCTCTTCCGCATAATTTGTAATTTATGTATGCGCTCGGGTCCCTGGTATACACGTTGATCTGGGAGACCACATGACGACAATGATACATTATTTCACGGCAATTCTTCGCATCTCGCCTTACTCGATAAAATTTCGAAGAAATTTGAATTCCAGATTCGCGTTTACGGAATTCTAGCAGAAAGGGGCAATTCGCGTTGATCTTTGTTACTTATTGAAATTTTTTGAAAGTTTTTATTCGATTATTCTCGCATTCAAATGGAATAAGAGAAACAGACAATCAAATAGTTTGCTGCAATTTAAATTTAAATCGGATTTTAAGTAATCGATTACCTAAAACGGGATAATTACCGTTCGTGCGCCATTGTTCGCATTAAATTTTCATTGCAAAGTACACGTAACCGAGGGGAGGGGGAAACTAGCGAGTGGACACAAAAATACACCAGAAACAAAGAACCGCAACTTGCATTAAACTTACGTACAAAATCTTTAATAATGTCGAGAGTTGTAAAAGAAAAAAAATGACTTTTAAATTTTTACATTCGGAGGATAGAGTTTTGCTGTCGCGAAAGTATTACGGTTTTTAGTCACGTTTAAAACTTTGAACTTTTTACGATAGTTTCTCTCCATGAAAAATATAAATAAGGATAAATACATGTGTATATCTCTGGTGGTTTTTTGCTATATCCGCATTATCGTAAGAAAACTGGCAAATAGGAAGCTCATGATGCGGCATGCTATTACCCTTAGTCTCCTCGCGTGTTTAAATTTCATTTGTGCGTACGAATATCTCTACTAGTCTAACTAACTTTGCCACGGTATTGTTACGGGATAGTTGCTGCTAACTCTAATTCGCAATACCTTCTCTCATCTCGATTTTCAACTAAATTCCATCTAATTCTCGTATTTACCGATTACGAGCTAATCTTTTTACGCACTTCTATTACTTTCTATTATCTGTGGTAATGCCTCGCAATAACATTTGCAATTTGATTATTAAATTCAATGTAAATAATACAATGCATTAACAATATCTTATTACTCTATTTATTTAAAATATCGATTAATCGGATGTTTATACATGCACTATGTAATGACGACTCGTAATACCAAAGGTTACTTATAAATATTTGGTTATAAAATAAACATAAATATTAATAACGCGAATAATAACGAGTTCCATAAAAATCGTCGTTTCAAACATCAATCTTCAAATCCCGAGTTAATTTTAATTTAATAGCTACGAGATATAATCTAAATTTTGAACACAGTGTACACGTCCCCTCCCAATAATCCATATGTAATTAAACTCGCGTATTCCGATCAAATTATTCATTACTCATAAACGAGTAGGAAATTTCAACGTTATCATACGCACGAATATTCGACTGGTCGTTTGACAAGAACAATAACGGACAAAGTTCGAACATTGATTTCCATCCACATGACTTTTCAATTTGTTCGCGATACCGTTATACCATAATTCCGCGATATCAAGATGGCTTAATCCGATTAGAGATGAAGATCAACCTGTTACCCGATTCACCCAAGCCTAATCTTTCGTCACTCGATAAATCACTTGAAAAATGAAAGATGTCAAAGACATATAAAGATGAGAGATACAACCTTGAAACGAATCAACCGCGAGTTGTCTGAAAGAATAAGACAGATAAAAAGAGATAAAAGTTTCTTATATCGAATGTAACGGATATACATTCTTTCCATTTCCTCTCTTTTTTGCCCTCTTCCTTTTCTATTATCAGTCATTTCCGTTCCTTGATGCGACAAGTATTTATCGAGAACGATTACGGATTGGCTTTCGGCCAACGTGTGTATCCCACGATCTCATCCGATCCGTTTCGTACCATCGAATCGATTTACATCGAAATCAAAACTATGAGAATGCACAACTCGAAAGAATCCATCCAGATGGCCGACTCTTCCATATGAATTCCACGGTAAATGTTTCGCCATATTAAGAAATCTCGATGAATGAAACGAACCAAGATAGAGAAGTTCCACTTTTATTCTTGAAAGGCGATCGGGCATTGGTACATGTTACGTTTTCAACCGGTAAACGAAACGGACAAAAGGAAATAGAAAAGGAACGGAAAAGGAGAAACAAGCCTCTACTTTCTACTTTCCATCTGTATTTATTGAGACGCCCGTGGCTTACACGGCCGAATCGAAGTCGAAAGTTTTACGCTCATTGAAAGATCGTGTGCCTTTATGACGCCGCCCCGTAAAATAAGCATTTCGAGAGCGGAAAAAGGATCTTTTCTATATATGTATATATATAACTATCGGGCTGGAAGTAGAAAAGAAAAGGAATCAGGTTTATATAGAAGAGCGAGCGCTGTTCGAACAGCAGACGTCGCGGTAAATACATGTACGGTGCACACAGGAATCGAGGGTAGATTCGCCTCTCTTTCCCAGCTATCGTACCAGGGAAAGATCTATGTTTTTGCCGAGCCACACAAGATAAATTTCCCTTTCCTTTTCACCGCGCTGTTTAGCTTACGAAGAGGAAGTACCTTCCTAACCGTTCTCTCGAGAGAAAAATTCTCGAGAGGCGCGATCGTATTCGATGACACGATACAAAATCCAGGCCGTGTCGCGTCTTTTTAAAATGTATTACACGGCGCGGCTGTTCCAACGCCGCCGTTCTGTTTCCACGGCGACAAAAAACGGCGATCATCGGCTCTCGAAGATTAATGTTTTCGCCGAAGAAAGATTTCGCGATGTAACGATCGTGGTAAATTTATTCGAAAAATAAAAAAGAAAAAAAAAAAGAAAAGAGAAGACAAAGTAGTTTGCTCCGCGCGGGGAAGTTCGAGAATCGAGAAAGAATTTGCCACGAGAAGAACTACTCATTGCTTTCGGGTAAAGGGAGAGAAAAAGAGAAGGAAAAAGAAATTTACGCTTATTGGAGGATCACGATTTCATGACGCTGCGACGTCTCGCGCGGATTGATATACGACCACTAAAAGGACTTTTAGAACGCGTGGTGCCAACTTCGTGGTGGCAAGAATGCCTATTGGAAAATTGCACTCCTCGTCGCAGACGAGTTTGGTGGCCCATTATTCCTTGAAGGGTAGTATATTTTCTAACGTCTCGTAGGGTATAAATACACCTTAATGGCCGTGTCCTCGGAGGCGCGATCGACCTACTTATTTCGCCCGGCGGACCGACGAAAATTGGACAATACGTTTTATCGCCCTCCCTCTTCTCTTCGTAAATATTCGTCTTGAACGAGCTTTTAAACAAGCGCACTAAACTGGAACACAAAAGCTTTTAAACAATCGCTCTCGGCCAATTACTATTAGATAAATCAACCATTGAATTGTAAGATATTGATAGCATTGTCGATTATACATTTAAAGCTGAATGTTCGAAACGTATGTACGAATGTTTGATCCATTTACACATCCCCTCGATCATTTCCTCGTTACAACTCTCTTAACTCAATTACAATCTCATTACGATTTCATCCCCCAATGAAATTAAAAAGCTTGTCGATACTTTAATTAACTATAATCCATATTAAAATCTGCTGAAACTTGGAATATACTTTGAATATGAGGGTACATAAATTATCCAGGAAGATGAATAAGTTTCTTAATTAATATATCTTCAATATCGAAAACTTTCTTGCAACCCCACTAAGCGTATCGATACGTCTTTTACCCTATACAATAGTAAGTTAAAAATCCATCTATTTAAATCTATTTAAATTATTATTTTATGTCTCCTCTCCCCTTTCCCCAATTTCCTTCCTCCCTCCTTTCCCGAGCGTGAAAATAAAGACCTCGTGGTCTCAATTTTTCGGCCGATTTGTCACACAGGATAAAGGTAGATCGATGTTTTTCGCGAGATTCGTATTCGGTCCCGTGTAAACAACGTCGTTTTCCAGAGTTGGGGAAAAGGGAGGGACAGCGCGGTGAGCGGAAGGAGGACGAGATTGAACGTTATCAAGGCCGGTGGAAGGGTGGAGGGGGGGAAATGAAGGAACAAAATCTCAGCTTCGCCGCGTGTTTGGCTTCCTGCATGCGCGCTACGAGATGGCCGCGGATCGCATCTGCATCGTTCGTTC